CATCCGTATAGGTGTGGGGTGTGTAGCGCCCATGCCCGTAGTAAGTCTATGCTCCTCTCAACCTGGCTTATACTGTATGTGGGTACTGACTCACCCCTGACATCACTACAGGAGGGCTCTACATAAAAGGGGCCTAGCACCTGATGACACTGTCTGCTGTAACCAAACACTATTCTGGTACAGAGCCACCTAGTGACAAACTAGCCAACTGCACCTGATCCTCCTATAGGATAAAAGGCAAAGATAAATTCCTTCAGAAATTTCATCTGTCTAATTTTGTCTTCTTCTATCTAGCTAAGTGTGACAATGGCTGGTGACATAAATTGTTCTCTAGAAAAGATGTGATTGTAATGTGATTGTAGATGTAATTCTAGGAAAAACTTGACTATGGTCTGCAAAACAAATAGTGGAAAATCTCTGCTATAGTAATGCAGACAGTAACATAAATAGTTTAGTAGAGTGGGGAAGAGTTAGAACCTCAGTTTGGTTTTGATTGCCTGTATCCTCAATAGGATATTTCCCCTTACTACCTGCCCCAGTGATGGTAGCAGCCATTGACTCCAGTAGACTTCTACAACCCCAGACTGTCCCAGGAAGTCTGCAAATGTTGCTAATTATGCTTATATCTCTCATATGTACATATGCGGAATGGTGTGATTAGTACTCCACAGTTTTTACTCCATGTTAAACATTTGTTTCCCTTTGAGATCACATGACAGTAACATCTACTTCTTTTTCTATTCAGGTTTCAGTTATCAGAGTTTAAAAGTGAAGTTGGCTATGTTCATGTAAGTACACAGTCATTTGTCTATAAACCAATAAACAAGTGTTAACCTCTGGTTCAGAAGAGGTACAGTAACATTCAGGCAGTCCTGGACATACTAATTATCAATCTCAGGGATGCCGGAGGCTTTAAATCTTTCAAGATGTTTAATGAAGGAATTTGAGAGGTAAAGCAATAAAGATAGGTGTTTTAGGTTCCTTTTAGGTGTTTTAGGTTCCTTTTAGGTGGTTCCATTCCACCTACTCTGTACAGCCAACCAAAGAAGTAGATCCCAGCTACAGAAACTCTTCTCTGAACCATTCTATGAAGGATTCATTATGCCATTCTTCTGTCTTCTTTATCAGTCTAGCTTTAAATTTCCAGATAATGTATAGGAGAATAGCAGCTGCTACAAAGTTGCTAGCATGTCATTGCTCTAATTGTTAGGTGTCAATGTAACTTAGGGCCCATGTCAACAGGCTTTGTTGTCCTTCATTTGATGTGTGTTTAGTCAGCACTGTGTGTTGAAGACCACTTCTTCAGGACCAAGAACCATTGCGTGTACTGAAATCTCCCACAAGAAGTGTGAGGGAAGAATTTCTATGACTGAGCTCCACACATTACCTAGTCCTCAGGACCAGGAAACCCTGCCTGTGCTTTAATACATTATGAGAACTGTGAAGGAAGGATTGCACTGAGCCCTATGCACTGTACAGTCCATAAATTGCTTCTTCAGGATCGAGGAACACTGCCAGTGCACTGAACTCTGTGTTGCATGGTCAAGAGATCCATTATTCATGGCCATTGAACTGTCATTGCTAGAAATGTTCCATGAAAGGTGAGAGGGAAGGACACCTTTTCTTAACTCAAGAAGGCCACTTAATATTATTATGGGTATGATTGGTTCTTCTTCTACCTCTACACTATAATTTTTTTCACTTCTTTTTTCGAACATTGATATTTTTACTGTGAGCGTGATTTGGTGTTTTCTGGCAGTCTTCCACCTCTACACCACTTATTTTTTTCTGTTCTTTTTTTTTCCCCAACATTTAGGTTTGTTAGGTATAGTTACTATTATATTTGGAAAATAAATTACAGAGTAAGGTTATGGAACTCTGTTTTATGCAATGATTCAAAAATCTTTCATATGTTAATTTTTTATTTCTGTGCATTCATTGTACAACAGCTGCAATGGCAACTTTATATTTATAAACACATAGCTGAATAAGTGAATAATGACAAATAAAATAATAAATGGGAATATACACCACCAAGGCAGTTTTTACATGCCAATTTTGGAGTTTAAAAAGTAAAATGTTTTGTGACATGTAGAATCTTAAATCTGTAGAACACCCCAAAGGCATCATATTTTTATAAATATGTGCTTCTTTGCTTTGAAGTTTTCATGTATTTTACTATTTTAAAGTTAAAGGAAGTGTATTCTCCTTTAACACTCTCTTCCCCCTACAAACAGAATTGCAGGATTTTTTTTCCTTTCCTATATATTTTTTTTCTTTTTTGGCCCCACCCTTCACTGCCCATCTGGCCTAGACCAGATTAACGTGTACCTGGTCATGGTCTGTGGCTCAGGCCAAAGTAGGGAACTAACATTATCAAAAAGAGTGTTTAGCAATGGCAGCCTCCAAAATCTCTTATAGCAGAGTCCCTGTAATAGTGGACAGGTAAGCATACGCTCATTTTAACCCTACTTTCATTTATCTGCCTATTTTTTTTCTAAGGAGACAAGTTTAGGTGTGCTTGATATAAATCTCTGTCAAATGCCTATGATGGTAAGTGTTGGATTACTTTTTTAGAGCATGTCAATTTATTGTGCAGGTCTCGGAACTGGAGAAATCATTGGGACACAGTTTCAAAGAATCGGCACTTCTAGCAATAAACAGTAAGACATTCAAATCTTTCTAATTTCTCTTCCATTGATGAACTATTGTCTTAAACCCAATAAAATCTATATATTGTATATCTAATATGCAAATTTTCACACCTAGATGGATTACGTGGCGGTATTCCTTTGCCAACTCTGGCTAATATAACTCTACAGGATTCCACATTACAAATCACCCCTGTAAGGCTGTTTTTGTTTAATTAAAATACTTTTTTTACTTATTATTATTATACAGGATTTATATAGTGCCAACAGTTTGCTCAGCGCTTTACAATATAAAGGGAGACAATAGAGCAACAATACAGTTAAATACAAGAGGGTTAGGAGGGCCCTGCTCCTTGGAGCTTACAGTCTAGTAGTGTGGGGCTGGTGGAACAAAAGGTAATAACTGTAGGGGTGTAGGGGATGAACTAATGGGAGAAATAGAAGATTTGGTTATTAGCTGAAGGCAGGATAGGCTTACCTGAAGAGGTATGTTTTCAGGGATCACCTAAAAAGTGGACAGAGTAGGAGATAGTTGAACAGATTGTGATACAGAGTTCCAGAGGATGGGGGAAGCTCATTCTTTGTTGTTTTGTCAGGATTGCCATCAGTACTGAAAAGGACCTAGCAAAGAAACCTTCTAATATTAGACATTGTTGCCACCTTTTGCCATATAATTATAGCTTTACCATTTGATCTAAGCCCTTATAAAGCTGCTTGTACCCCTAAATCCATAAATGTATATTTTTAGTTATGGATAGAGCAGAAAATACAGAAATACGTGTAAATTAATTAGTTTAATTGAAAGTTATAGTTTTTACAAATAGTGGTATAGATACTGGAATTTTTTTTTTTTCAACTAGTAATGGCGGTGATCGACGACTTATAGCGGGACATTCTGACAATGGGGGGAACTGACTTGGTGTCACTGACATCCCCAGTGACACCAATACTGTGATCAGTGCTAAAAAAAGCACTGGCACTGTACTAATGGCACTAGGCAGGAAGGGGTTAACAATGAGGAACAATCAAAGGGCTAACTATGTGCAAGGAGTGTTTTGTGATGTGACCACTATCACAGTGACAGGGTGTGACATGGTTTTGTTTATTAACAAAGCCAAGTCACAAATAAATAGGGTACCTTTATGCATAGCAGTGGGCATAACAAAACTAAAAGCAGAACTTCAATAACAATTCGGTGAAGGCAAAAATGTTAATTTTGCTGCAAAATCAAGTTGAGCCTGTTTATGTCTATTGATTAGTGATGGGGAAGCACAGATAGGGACATATTGATTTTCTACTTTAACCAGGATGGAGAGACTGCTCAAAGGGGAAGCAAAGAGACAAAAAGATAGGCAATCCTGCATGAGGGATTTATGGAATCTCTTGAAAAACTTTCCAGCTGAGGTCACCTACTGTTGAAGATGGAAGGAGAGTCAAATCTGTTGGAATCTACTCATGGATGGATAGTCTCAAACTGCAGATGGTTGCATAGTTTTTTTGTATAAGAGATGGCTAGATATGAGAATGACCTACAAATATAAGGTGCAGCGCTAGGTGAAAAACATATAAATGCAACAAAAACCATATAATAAATAAATAAATGGTGATAAATATGAGAATGAACTTACAATAAATGTAACTTTATTTTTAGGGATGTTTATTGGCATCAATGGACATGTACTACATACCATGGAGAAAATTATTAGACATTCTACCCAAGCACCAGTCTCCAGAGTATCACACGCAGTGAAGACTTAAAGTTAACAAGATGGCTGTCCAACAGATCGTATGGCTGTTCATGGTATGGATGCATCACCATGCCAAATCATTTTAATAAATTGCAGTTTCACCAATACTGTGTTTTATCCTTTGTACAATAGCAGTAACTAATACTGTTAGCCTCCATTGAAAACGGCAAGTTTAGAGTTAAGTGATTCCATTTAAAGAGGAGCCATACTTTAGTTTTAAAAAAAAATAAAAGTCAGTAGCTACAAATACTGTAGCTGCCGACTTTTAAGAAGTTGATTCTTCATTGGACTTCCTCTCTCCATCTTGGATTTGGGAGCCAGCTGTGACTTTCTGGTATCTCATAGCAGACTCCCCACTGCTCATGAAGTATAGCAGCACTGTGGGCCTAGTCCTGCAGCCTCCAGATAGCTTTGATGTGTCCTAAGAGGTGTGGGGGGAGGGTGGATGGGGCTCAAGTGGACATCATTCTTGTCTAGGCAAGAATGAAGAAAATGGGAGCAGGTGCCTGTCAAAAAAGGTACACACTGCCTGGAAAAAAAACACACTTTTGAGTGAAGGTTTGCTTTGGGTTCATCGCTTTAGGTGGAAATTTTTCTTAACCACTTCAAGTCTGGACACTTTTACCCCCTTCCTGTCCAGGCCAATTTTCAGCTTTCAGTGCTATCACACTCTGAATGACAATTGTGCGATCATGCAACACTGTACCCATATGAATTTTTTTTGCATTTTTTGAGACAGATAAAACTTTATTTTGGTGGTATTTATTAACCATTGGGGTTTTTTTTTGCTATATAAATGAAAAAGTCCAAAAAGTTTGGAAAAAAAGTGTTTTTCTTATAAAATTTTTCAAATAAATAATCTTTCTTCATAAATCTTGGCCAACATGTATTCAGCCATCTTTTTGGTAACAAAAATAACCCAAATTAGTTTCTAACCAAAAATTTGAATTTATATTTTACATTTTTAGTTTACTTTTTATATTATTATTTATGTTTTGTTTTGGGTTTTTTTAACATAGTCACCCTAGCAGTACAGTGTCACCATAATGACACTGTACTACTTGGGGGGGCTGATGAAGATTTTTTTTTTTTTTTTTACACTGATTGCTTTTACACCCATAAAGGCTGTAAAATCAATCATTTCTGCTTCTCTCTGGCTGCATTCTTGCAGTCATTGAGAAATACTGTAAGAGCTGTGATTGGCCACAGCTTGTCACATGGTACAAGGCTGTTGTGAATAGCCTTGTACCATGTGACCTCTGTGATCATTCACAGATTTCAGTAGGAGTAAGCAATGGTGTCAGGAGTGATCACATGATCTTGACCTCACACAGGTTTTGTTTTAGATAGAGTGGAGAGGGATTAGAAAGATTTTCAGTTTTTAATTGTTGTCTGTGCCCTCGCTAAGGAGATTCCCCCTCTCTATTTGTCTTTTTTACCATTATCATTGAAAGTGAAAGTAAAAGAAAAATTTGGTTTGTCCCCAGAAAAGTAATAGAGAGGAAATCATCCAATGGGAATACTAGTTCTGGTGACCTGGGGGTCCCCTAGGAATTCTCTTAATTTGCAGGGATTTCCTCTCACTTCTTATTTGGCTATGGGACAGGAAGTGAAGAGAAATCCCCACAATGGGACACAGATGGTAAAAAAAAAAATCTGACGGGGTTATAACCCTCCCTTGCCCTATCCGAAATGAAAAAAAAAAAATGTTTTGCCTATAGTCTATGACCCAATCGTGTTCCTTTATTGTCATCCGGTCACACTTGTAGTTTCTAATGGAAACTTTGTTTCCTTTTAGCATTCATTGCAGGCATGGTCCACTGTTGTACCCATCACCCACCTGCCCTGAGAAATGCAATGCACTCATTGCTGTAGTTTGGAAAATAGTTGGAAAGAGACTGCAGGAAATCAGCAACATTAATATTCCACAAAGGATGAAAAATTGGGTAAACACGAATTTTATTTAAAACAAAAAAGCCAGTAGTTTAAGATACACATTGCACTGGCAAAGGAAATATTAGTTAGAGTAGAACTCAGACAACTCCAGACAAATGGCTAAAATATATATGATTACTGTTTTACATGCCAAAAGGATTTATAATTCTGAACAGCTAGTCTTGTGATTTACACTCAACTTATGTTGTGCCTCCAGACAGAGGAAAAACGATTTCCTGGTTCAACAATCCACAAAGAGTTACTAAAGCCACAACAGTAAAGTCAGTCTGAATATGCAGTAAAGCATGCTTGTTATACTCAGTGTGGAACCTAAGTAGTTAATCCTCTGCATTGTGCAAAAACATTGTTTCCTAACTTCTCTGATCCTCTCCATCTTCCAGTGTCCTCCTCTTATTCTCTTGATAAGACATATTGTGTATAGTCACTCTGTACATGATCAGTTTGGTGTATATAGCTAGAGATGTTTTTTTTTAGTTCTCGGGAGAGAGCATGTGATCAGCACAGAGCTGTCCAGACAGAGGTCAGGGGTTTTGCATCCTCCTAGAGCAAAATGAAAACCCCTCCTACAAGCTTTAACCAGTGCTTGGTTGGACACTAATAGAAGTCGCAAGACTGCTCTAACTGCTATTGAGAAAAAAGTATTTAGCAGTTTATATTTACTAAAATAATTGCACTTCCATGTTTTGTATACTGTAGGAGACCACATATAGTGAATGCAGGGTCCTAGGTTTAGGAACACTTTAACTATATCACATTTCCATCTCCCCTGTTGCTAATTCCACCTTCAGAATTGATGACTTTCATATAAGTATGGTACCCCAGCATGATACTAAACATGATGTGGGCATTGCCCGCATTATACCTTACAAAACATGTACTCATGTACTAAGCATTCCTGACCAATCACAGCTGATAAAAGCAAGTTTAAATAAAGAGCAGTTTAGTATTCTTTAAAAAAAAAAAAAAAGTTAAAACCCCTCTATTGTCTATATCGGGAGACATCCCCATACTTCCTGCCCTGGAGACACAATAAGAAATTAGATGTAATTTCACCAAAATGAAGGGTTTTCACAAGAACATTTGCCCTTAATGGATGATTTTCCATAACCTCTTGGTCTTGTGACCACTCAAAAATATTTGTATTAAACTTCAGTTTCTGTCTAGGTGGCAATAGCCATCAGGACAATAGAGAGAGTGAATCTCCCCAGCAGGGACACAGACAACTATAAAAACGTGCCCAAGAATCTAATCATTTCCTGCTCTATCCAAAACCAAAAAGGCTCTACATATGTTCAGTAGCACCCTCCTAGATAGCTAAGGGGAGCTAGATTATACATTTTTAGATAGAGACTGAGAAGCAGCCTGTGGAGATAGTCAGAGGGAGGTCAATTTCAGGTCAGAACTGAGCGGCTCTGCAGACCAGCTCTTTGGGACTTCCCCCTGCTCTAGAGGTATAGAGAAAATTCTAAAAGCAGTGGGAGGGAGTGAGGAGTGGCTGGTCTGCATGCTTGAGGGATCCTGACCAATCCCCAACAGGAGGCTTGACATGGGGTCAGGACAGTCCATAAGAGTGACAGAGCCTGCTCAGCAGCAGGAGAGTTCGGGTGGAAGACAGAAAAGTGAGCGGCTGGAAATCAGGAGCCTGGGAGGGAACCAAGATGGGAAGGGGCTCATCTAGAGGCAAGGAAGCTTTGAAGGAGGAAAGCTCAGGACTTCACTGGGCCCCAGAGCAAGGACAACTTATGCAGCAGGGAAGGAGCAGTCCAGCAGAAGGCCTGAGAGCAGCCACTGACCCATCAGCTCATAGGAGAATAGCTGAGTGAGTAGGCCTGCACCCCCTGAGCCAGTAAGGGGAAAGAGCACTCTGGTGGGAAACTGGATTAGCTTACTGCCTGAGACTGTCTTCTTTTAAAGTGACAAGCACTGGATCTCCTCACTCAGAACAGCTGGATAAGGAGTGTCTAAGGCAGGGGTAGGCAACCCGTGGCTCTCTAGCTGTTGTGGAACTACATTTCCAATGAGGCATTGCAAAGATTACAAAACTGACAGTTACAGCTATGACTTGCAGAGGCATGATGGAACTTGTAGTCCTGTGGCTCTCAGGTTGCCTACCCCTGGTCTAGGGTCTAGGGTGGTACAGCAGGAGATGCTGGCTAGCTCTCCAGAAGAGAATTGTTTGCTGTAAAGAGACTTGTATATAGTTACAGGATGTTGCCATTCCTTTGGGCATCCTATACACCCCTTACCCCATCCAATTTTATATTCCCCTAGTAAAATCCAAAGAACAAAGCTCAAGGACTCACTGTTTCCTGGATGCAAGTCTGACTGGAAGATGCCTGGCTGTGCAGGACTATAGGGGGACCCAAAACTCAGCAACTCCTATGGTGGTACTTATACACTTTAAAAAATCAGAACTGGTAATGAACTATGGTTGTGTGACATACTGTACATCATGATCAGTGCATGAAAAAGTTTATCCATTAATATGCTACTAAACCCACAACAGTAAAATCAGTCTGTATATGCAGTAAAGCATGCTTGTTATACTCACTGTGGAACCTAAGGGGTTAATCCTCTGCATTGTGTAAAAAGGATGTTTGATCCTGTCTTCTCTGATCCTCCAATTTTTCCACAGTCCTCAATCCATCTGCTGATAGAACAGAACCTTGGGGGCAAGCTGCACATGCTTTTTCTTGGGGCAGCGCATGTGATCAGCACAGGGCCAATCAGCTCTGTCCAGACAGAGGGTCAGGGGTCCTGCAGCCTCATAGGACAGTCAGAGGAGAATGAAAATTCCTTTTACAAGATTATTCAGTGCTCTCCTGGACACTGATAGAAGTCACAAAACTGCTCTAACTGCTGATGAGAAAAGGTATTTAGCAGTTTATATTTACTAAAATAATTACATTCCCATGTTGTGTGTAGGAGACCAGATATAGTGAATGCAGGGCCATGGGTTTAGTAACACTTTAAGTGCGCCCTTTGTTTGGTCTACCTGGTGAACCATTATGGACTTTAGTACCATTGCTCCTAATTTCCAGAAAATGGATAAATATTGCAAGATAGCATTAAAGGGTTAGTTTACCTTTTCAGAAAAAGTAAAAAGGCGAATTCATGCCGTACACCCTAAATTCCTCTTATAATCACCTAAATCCATGGTCATGTGTTGTTTCAAATATTATCTCTTCTTCTGTGTACAGGTGACTGGGTCCATCTTCGGGAGTCCACACTACTGTCTACAAATGTAGTCTATGTTTATCAAACTGTAATATAAGAATATATCATTTAATAGAAGAATGATATAGAGTATTTGTGGCATGATAGCACTCCAGTTAATTGCCAGTGTTGTAATTAGTGATACAATGCTCCTCAGTCTGGTATAAGGAGTATGGCAGGAATGCATAATCATATCCTCTCCTAATGAATTGGGTAATGGATTCTTTCATTCATATCTCATTAATTGTACAGTATTCAGTTTCTTGGAAAAAGTAATGATCTCACAGATGGTAGGATCACGTGTGCAAATAGCTTTCATTTGATAAACTGTAAGCATTTTAATTAAGTAGTAATGGCATAAATGGCATAGAACCTGGAATCTAAGCGGTCACAGGTACAACTACTCCATTACACCTAAAATGCCTAAAATGTTTGGATGGGTTCCTGAGCCTGTACCTGTAAAATGCCTGGATTGAAAGAATATCACTTTGGAGCATTTGCTTATCCTTAGACTCCTACATCTGTCAGGTTGACATGAACTTACTATAGAGTGTAGAAAGTGCTGCTCGTGTGGAGTGCTACAATGCACCCCCCTATACAAAATTCTTATAAAATATTCCTCTTTCCATACATATGTAATGATGGGAATATGTGCTGTGGTGCTCTTCACTAAAAGTGTGCCTCTAAAGTATACCGATAGTGCATACAATGTACAAAGCCATAAGCAAAAGAATACTTTAGGAGGAGAACAATAATTCTCCTCCCCAACACCTAAATGCAACCTAATTCATGATAGTGCATATAATGCCTAAACCTATGAGTGCATGCATCTCATTGGGGCTGTATTGCACCTTCT